TCAATTTATTTGAAAATAAAAGTGGAAAATTGTAATTAAATTACTTGTCATTCTTTATGAAAGAATTTGCTGATACCAAATCATTAAATAGTAATTCCCGGCACGTTTGAATATATTAAATCGCGCGTACTGATTTCAATACATTATTAAATTATAATATATTCAATTAATCTTATCTAAATATAATTAATATCAAGGATTAAATTATTTCTATATTAAATTGTCGGTCATAATAATTTTATACGATTTTACATGATTTAGTGCTGTGTGATACGGATTAATTCATTTATGAAATCATATTGTGCGATCTCGAAGAGTCAAAAGGGTCAAAAATCAAATTGAGATTCATGGATTACGATTTAATTTGACCACTAGTTAATAAAAATACTGCTTTGCGGCGAGATTGGAGACAATCGATCTTTTTTTCTCCTACAATTATCGGGCTAAATATATTTGGTGATATTATTTCATGGAATGCGGATGTTGATCACGTAATGGGGTCAACATGCCGCTTGGGATTTAAAGTACAGTCAAGCACATCGGTTATTTTCGCATAAATAAAAGAATATGCAAACCGTTCCGAAAGCATTCTTGAAAAAGAACATTATTTCAACTAATATATAAATAATAATCTGCAATAATATAGTAATCCGGAAATAATAAAATATATCGGATAAAATATGTTTATTTTTCTTCATTCGAAAGATTTACTGTGCGATAATATGTATAAAAAATCTAAACAAGTATTACAGAAATTATTTTGCCATTTAAAAAAGAACGTAAATTTACGCAATCGTGTTCGCTCAGCACGTTATATCTTTAAACATATATTAAAATTATCTGGGATTGCGAATCCCAGAAGCGGACATACGGAATACTTTTAAAAATTACATGCAACCACAGCAAAAAATTTAGTGGAAAAATATGTATATGTTTGGTGGTACATATTATATACGTTTATCAACTTTTTGAGTGCGCATATTTATTTATTTTTGCAAATCTCATCAAAATATTCGTGCAAAATTAAAATATGCAAAATACACATATATTTAAAAATAAATATATTTATTTATGTATATTTTATATATTAAACAGAATGTTAAAAATGTAAATAACGCATATATCCCTTGGCGCCATTTTAAATTCAAACTCACGAGTGTTTGGAAACATCGCATTATTTTATCGTCCCGATCAAATTTTCGATTTTTGACATAAACTTTTCGAGGAAATTAATTCATCACATCTATTATATATTACAAGTCAATTATATTACGACTAAATATGTGATTTTCATTGACGATGTCGTGAAAAACTAAAGGAGCAGCAACAAAACAGCGGCTAACCTCTCTACAAAAGTACAGATAATACATCACGCGTCTATACAGAAAAGTACGAAAAGTCTCTCTCGTGTGTTCCGAACATTACATCGATGGCGTCATTTGGCACATTACTAGATTGCCTCGGAAGCCCCTAAATGCTGCGGTCAGCTGACAATGAATAATGTCATCCTACCTTCGTATCCCTGGACGTGTGATAGTAGTAAACAAAGGCAAACATCCACGCGCATGACAAGAGCAACGCGATCTTAACATTCCGCCGCATGACTGATCCGGGATCTCGCGTATGTCAGAGCCCTGATCTGCCCGGCTGATTTCCTCGATATGTCCTCTCAGCGCAAAACCCTCGTCCTTTCCTCGCACGAAACAACACGCTCACCCGCGAACACGTATGACACTACGAAATATCACCAACGCGCGTACCGGCAGTCGAAGCCATACTGCCGAGGACGGTTGAGAGCGGCGACTGTGATGCTGCTCGCGTGTTCGACGCCATCTGGTGGCGGCGCGTCAAATTAAATTACACCCGCGCGCCGAAGGGCGGCAGATTTCGGACGAACGAAATGTGGTTAGGTGGATTACATAAGGCGAAACGAAATCTCATTTTTCAATTCAACTTCCCAAAACCCAAATCAAGTTTTAGATCTTACGCATTTCGTATGGGAAAATATTATTGCGATCCCATGTTTCCAAATAACGAGTAAAGTTGTTAACACATAATTTATGTTAACATGTTAATTAGATATTTTTTTTATATATATAATCAATATTCAGACTTCAGAAAAGAGAGATAGAAAAGAAAACAATGTAATAATGTGCTCTATATATTCAAACTATTTAGTATTGCATATAAATACATTAAAAAAAATTTATTATCTTGACTAAACTTTGCAACTAAATATTATTTTGTTAATTGCATATAAAACTATTTAAATTAAATATATAACATATTAAATCTAACAAAACGTATATTTGACATAAATATTAATGTACGTTCAATCAAACACAATTAATATATGTTCAAAATAACAATTTAGTTGAAAGATTTAGTCATGTTAACAAATTTTTTCAGTGTATAATAATAATATATAATCTATTTTAATTATGTTCGAAAATTTGCATATACATGTTCCAATATAAATTATATAATAAATTATATAATAAATCGGTAATATGATTAAACTATATATGTATAACAATATAATTTAAAAATGTGTTCTCGCGCGTGTATGTAAAGTTGGAATCTCATTTTGTGAAAACTCATAAATAATTGAGAATTCTGATTTTATTTACAATAGCACTAAAGATACCGATATAGTTTAAACAAATAGTTCTGGCCATTAATACCAAAAATTTTTGGCCAAAAAATTAATTTTTTAATACGAAAAATGATAGTATTTTATTTGTAGTTGTTTATAGTAACAATAATTCATTTGGCAGTATTGAACTAATATGTATTAATTAAGTCATTCTCTTTCAGTGTAGGTGTTTGAAGTTTTGTTAATAGATGCACATTTTAAAAACTGCAATTAATTAAACAAATTGTTAAAAGTAATTTTTATCAAAAAAGAATTTTTAAATCTGCTTTTTCCAATATAAATTTCGATTGCGATTGCTACAAACAATTTTTAACGAGTCTAAATCACCTAGAAAAAGCAGATTTGAAAAATCTTTAAAATTAACGAAAATCACTTTTCACAATTTTTTAATACTATTGTAATTTTTAAACCGCCCACCTACAAACAAAACGAAAATCAGTAGAAACAACTAGAAATAATTCTAAAAAAGACTGTGTAATTAAATTTGAGATATCTTAAATTCGGAAAGCTTAAATTGTATATAATTATAAACGAAATACTATCATTTTCTATATTAAAAAATTAATTTTTAAAAAGTCGGGTGCTAAGTTTATATAGGTCCAGAACTATTTGTTTAAACTAACAGGAACTTTATAACTACTGTAAATATAGTCAGAAATTTTTTATATTTATTAGTTTCCACAAAACGTCAGCTTCACACACACCGTATCCTATCGTTCGAAAATATATATATATATAATCTAAATGTTTTTAAATAAACGAATTGTTCTTTTATCGCGATAACTTGAGTAATATTAATACAATATAATCTATTAACTTATTGATATTTATTTATTTAATGAATATATATTAGTAATGTAACTGCGATATAAGAAAGAAGATAAAATTTATCAAAGTAGATATAATAAGCTAATAATCAGATACACGAATAACGTATATAGAATAAAAAATCTCAGATTTTTTAGTTAAAAATAAAATTCAATTTTTGTTTAATTTTGGTGGAATTTTAAAAATATTCAAAAACAAAGAACACATTTTGCAAATCTATGATAAATTCATAGTTTTTCATGTCATATAATTTTGGAAATAAATATCGATTATATATCTAAATTTTTTTACCGATTTTTATACATTTCAGAAATTTTTAAAGCAATTTCGTATATTATTTACATTAAGAAACCAAAACTAAAAAAAAAGGGAATTTGCAAAGTCGAAAGAGAATATTTTTATCATATCACACATTTATCAAACTTTATATATTACGCTCCAAAAACATAATGTTAGAATTATTTGTAAAAAATTCAGAGGCTCAATCTTACCTTGTCGTAGACTCTCAGCACATCATTAATCCATTAAGTAATCCATTAATCCATTAAGTAATCCATGTGCGATACTCCTCAATGATTTTTAATGCACTGACACTTATACACTTCACACTCAATTATATTCGCGGAGTAATATATGTGTCATTTTTATTTTGACACATAATATCAACGTTCAGTATTAACACATTGTAATCGCGACCGAATCGACACACTTGACATATACGATTGCTCGATATAAAAATTACTGACACTCCCGATATTCGATCACACTCGCGAAAATCCCGTAACGTAGGTTATATTTGCACATATAACCCTCCTTCGAAGGGCGCGTACGACACTTTGTTCGACGAGAAAATGTAGGTTAGGTTGACAAACCTCTCCTTCGAAGGACGCGATTTCTATGACGTAATCACTGCGATATAATCACGATCGATATATCGATTATATGCTCACTAGCGCGATCTGGTAGGTTCACATTGATCCACTTTTGGCGCGCAATGTATCTTGGATTTGGCGGTAAAATTCCGAGGAAGAAGCCGTGATCCATCATGGCGGACGCGAAACGGCGTTACGCAAATTTTCGTACGAGATCGATCGATTCGTCTCGACTGATCTCTCCCGGCGAGTCCGAAATCCGCTCCTCGACGAGCCGGATGCCGAATAACACGCGCGAGTCACCTCGGAGAAGCGAATAACGCGAGATTCGCGGGCCCCGGATCCTGCGAGAAACAGCGGATCGCCGAGCGTCGATCCGACCGAAACGCGAGCGACGCGAATCTTGCACTTGACGTGTCAGCCACCTGTCAAATCGACACGTGAACGATCGTCCGTCGACGGAGTCGATACTCCGGACGATCTTTGCACGCGGATCCGCCCGGGATGGACGAAAACACGCGGGAACGACAAGCGGCAGCGAGACCCGACTATCCCCCGGCAACTCGCGACTGGAAGTGATCGAGGCTGCGTGCAATTGCGGTCACGTGACCGCGACTCGTGGCTCACTTCGCGCGATTACTCGCGGAACGGGAAGAAGACGCGATGTCGTCCCAAAATGGCCGAAATTGCGCACTGACAAAATGTGATATAATTGAAGATAAAAAAAATTAGCACAGGATGAAATCGAAGTTTGATTAATGTATTTGATTGACAAGTACAAGAGAATCAAATAGACGAGATTATACATACATGGTGGAGGCTGCGAAATTATGACAGCACGGAGGAATGAACGTGTCATATTGCCGATGTAGAAAATGTATTGGGCGAAGTATGGTTTTACGAGGAGTTCGAGAGGACCGGACGGCCTGGAGGAAGGTATTGTGGTGCAGTGTACAATCTTTACAAGGTATACACTAAAGCACTAAACTAAGGTTTTAACAACGCTGCTACGTAACCTTCAAAATTCCTATTTTCTTTGTTCTATAAATAATGCTATATTTGTAAATTTTTGTTGAAGAAAAATTGTCGATTATTAATTATCTATTAACGTCGTTAATTTTTTAACGCTATTAATTTTCATGTTTTTTTTTTGTTAATATTTTTGTTACTATAAAATGCAGAAAATTATTAATACAAGTAAAATAAAAATATTTTCTATATATTTATTATCTTTTATATCTATTTGATTGATTTATTTTTACATTGTTTGTCTCAAATTATTATTCCTCTTACAATTAGTATTAATATTTATAATATTTTATGCCGTAAAATTTTTGACTACACAAAATTAAATTAAATAATTGAGTGAATATTTATATCTGAATAAATTTTCAAATTATTCACGTTTGACAAATATTTTTGTAGAAAAGTGATTGTAGAGAATCTCAGATTTCTTTATTACACAATATAGTGTTATACTATATTGATATTGTGATATATATATATATATATATATATATATATATATTAGGAGAAATAGAAATAATTAAAATATAAAAATTCTCACAGGAATACACTTATTTATTTCTTTTCTATAGATACACAAGTAGTTTCTTACTTAATTAGAAATTATTTTTCATTTTTATATTCTTTAAAAAAATAAGCATAAAATATATTCATTAAGATAATTGCAAAATAATTTTAGAAAAATAAATAATCAGGAAGTAATAATCAAGTTCGATTAATATATTAATTCACAATATATTAATTAATATTGCTTTTTTATTTTTCAATATTTTAATTTATTTCTCAAAAATAGAAGATATTTATAATCCAGTGCACACATATGCCAATTTATAATATATTAATATTAAAATATTTGGTTTAATTTAATTTTAATTATGCTGTAAAATTGAACTATAGAACAAATAATACAAGAATATATATTAATAGTAAAATAGAATTATAACAATGTAATATTTTTTGTATATATTCTTCAAAATAACAAACATGTAATTTGGTATAAACAATTTGCGTGAATAATATGCAATATTAAGATTTAATAATCTTTGAAATCTTATATTAAATAGTCTAAACCTAACATGCATTATTATAGACAAATGCATTATTGTAGAAAAGAAATATATACATGTTTTAAAAACATTTGGCATAATCGTTCTTTGATTGCAACGATTTTTCGATGACTTTACATCAAATTTATCTTGTTTAGCTTATAAAGCGACTGTAAACCGATATTGGGTGGATTTCGATAAATCTCACAAATACGCCCACTCAGGAGATACAGACGCGCGATGCCGGCCTCGAATCAATCTGTTGCGACCTGTCTTTTCGAAAGGAGTTCCGTGAGTTTGCTACAAAGTATGATTGGATAATATTTAATTTACCGTGAAGTTTCAAAACGCCACTGGCATGGCTTTTACACTGAGATGGTTTCTATTATTACACGTGAGTTTCTGCGCAGCATGGATGGACGAGAGGTACGTAAGAGTTTGTACTATTTTATTACTAATATATTCGTATATTCTGTTCTATTTTAATTTTACATTATAATTAAAATTAAAACCGAATACTTTAATATTAATATAATATATATATATATATATATATATATATATATATAAATGTGTATTGTATCATTTTCGTTTGCATCTTTTGTTTTGTCATTTGCATTTGTATAACGTTTATTATATATCGAGTCAAAAGAAATGATCGTGAATTTGTATGTACGATATCAATTTTATTTAATTTTATTGTCTTTATTTGTTTATTACTATTAATTTTATTAATTTAATTGTATTACTCTTTCTTGATGAGATTGCATGAATAATATATAAACTCTTTTCAGACCTGTTCTGGAGTCTCAAGATGGACATCTCGTGATCTCAAGCGCAAAGGACAGAAATATCACCCTGAAGATAATAGGGGGCGGTCACGTGAATGTCAATGAGATCAATCTGCTTCACGTAGCGTCAGCGGTAACGTAACATACTGCACAGTCTAAATGTACAGCGTAATCGAGATAGAATCGGTTAACGCGTACATCTCGATTCCCTTTTAGGCGCAAAATGCGACGCGGGTCATTGACAGATGGCGGATGGGATACTTGGCCGAGATGGAGAGCTCTCTTCACCAGCTAATGACTGTAGTGACAGGCCCTACAGGTTTACAGGGAAGAGTCACCCAGCTCGAGAGGAGCATCGACGTGAACGGCACGATTCGCGCAGGAAACAGATCACGTATATATCCGGTAAGAACACATACACTGCGCGATATTGAATCAACAGCTTGCGATGGCATATCTCTTCCTAATGTACTCTCAAATTACGCTAACAAAATAATGCAAGCATTATTTCACGTGTAAAAATTAATTAGAAGGAAAATTGCACAAACAGTTTTATTTAAAATATTATATTATTTATCTATTATTTAGAGACAAATTAATTTTTTGTGTTTTAATAAAAGTTATTAAAATTCATAACATTAATAAAAATTATATTTACATGTCGAAATAAAAATAAATAAATAAATAAAAATAAGTAAATGTTTGCTGTGTCAAATTATTTTTACAAAGTATCTGTATCTTTTCAGAATGTAAATCCGAATTTGTTGCCGCTTAGAACTAGAAACACCATTCGCCGTATCAGCATACGAGTATGTAAAAATTTCAAATTTATTAAATTATATATACATATGTACAATGATCTATATGATTAAACAAAAAAATATATCTTTTTTTTAGCTTAAAGTATTAGAAGATTCATTGAGAGCTATGCAAACGCTGCTTCGAGAAAATGAGTGTCAGAGTGATCCTTGTCAAAACGGCGGTACATGCGAGGATCTCTATGACGGCTATCAATGTCATTGCCCATCAAATTGGGAGGTATATAAAGCTCGCTGTGTGACAAGAACGCGTTGACATTTCATTAGCATAATTGACGATAATTTTAGGGCCCGAATTGTATGACGGACGTCAATGAATGCTTAAAACTTCTTGGCACAGAACTTGGATGTCAAAATGGAGTATGCCGTAATTTGCCTGGATCTTATCGGTATGCAATATTAACAATTACATTTTCTATTACAGTAATTAATATCAAGCAAAATATTTTCGTTTGACTACAGATATTTTAAACAAATTTACAATAAGCGTTTTTTACATATAAAAATTCTATTAAAAATAATACTTTATTAATAATTTAAAAATAAATGTAAAAATTAATAATTCATAAATAATTTTAATAATTTAAAATCTATTTTCTTTCATTCTATTGCCTCGTCTGATTATAGATAAAAAATTATAATAAATTTTTTATATAAAAAATTATATTAAAAAGTAATGCATTGTAAGTAATTTAAATAACATTTCCTTTTTTTTTAATTTTGTTGCTTTAACTAATTATAGACTTTTACATAACAATTCTATTAAAAAATAACATTTTGTAAATGATTAAAATAATTTAAAATCTTCTATTTTTTAATTCTATTGCTTTGTCTGTGTACTATTTTACATGAGCTTTTTACATAAGAAAGTCTAAAAAATAATACTTTGTAAATAATTTAAATAACTATAAATTTCCTATTTTTTATTATATTATTTTACATACAGGTGCGACTGCTTGGCGGGATGGTTCGGTCTTCATTGCACCCAGAAGACGTCGATTTGCAATACGGAGAATTCCGAGGCGCTTTGCGGTGAACACGGTGTCTGCATCGCCAAAAGTGGCTCTCAACTAGGCTACACATGCATATGCGATCAAGTAAGTTCTTTTTATATCTTACTTATTTGGTTTTAATTATAACTCATATTTATATATATATATATATATATCTCATATAGAACTTAGCTATAAACCTATTATAGTAGCAGACATATCCTGAACCTTTTATTTATCGCTCTTAGGGATGGGAGAGCGATGGCACGAGCCCAGCTTGCACCAAAGATGTAGATGAATGCGCGGCATACCATCCACCGTGCTCCGTAAATCCACCAGTATCTTGTCAAAATACTCGTGGCTCATTCACCTGCGGCGCCTGTCCGCACGGTTACAGTGGAAATGGCTATTATTGCACTGACATTGACGAGTGTCTGATTAACAACGGCGGTTGCAGTATCTCGCCTTACGTGCAATGCATAAATACAATGGTAAGAATTCTCCGAAAATATTTTATATATCTATAAATGCACTAGTAGACCCTGATCGATAATAGAAGAGATTTCGGTAAAATTATTTGATTTGATATTTTTTTTATATCGAAGCTTAGCTTTTATTCCAGGATCAACAACATGAAACTTTTAATCTCATTTTTATTATTTTTTTTATATATATTTAAAAAAATTTTTTATATACTTTAAAAAATTTGTTTTTCTTTATTTATAATTGTTCTCAAGTTCTGTTTAATCTAAACATCTTCAATAGACGATATTAAATGTATGTATGTAATATGAAATCATATGTATATAATATAAAATGTATGTAATGTAATATGAAATCAGTGTAAATTCTTTTTAATTGAAAAGTTTTTAAAGGAGGAGGTTTTAATTTCCTTCTCTAAGATTCATTAGTGCATAAATGTATAATATACAAATTTTATTTGTAAATGAGTATAAAAATATAAAAAATAAAATATAAAAATTATAAACCGTAAATTCTATTATCGTATTATTGCAGCAATCTATTGTATAGTTTTGTATTGATTTAATTTTTAATTTATTATTTTAATGAATGATTTTAATTGTAGGGCTCTAGAGTATGCGGCCCCTGTCCCTCGGGATATCGCGGCGACGGAGTTAGTTGCATTTTCGTCGGTGGTTGCGCCATCAACAACGGCGGATGTCATCCATTAGCCACGTGTAGCGAAAATCCGTCGCTCACAAGTTCTTACGTGCTATGCCGTTGTCCGCTAGGTTACATAGGTAATGGAATGGGACCAAACGGCTGTCAATTAACTGATGTATCAGTTAATACAGCGTGTTCCAGCAACCCTTGTGTTCATGGCGCATGTGTGCCAAACGGCGCAAATGGCTTCACTTGCACATGCAATCCGGGATATTCAGGTACAAATTGGGGAAGAGAGAGAGAGAGAGAGAAACGGGATAAAGGAAGGGAGGGAAAACTTTCTTGTAAACTATAAACGTTCTGTTACATGCATCTCATCACATAAGTAAGATATGGGATTAATTCGTGTTTAGCAAATACGTAAATATTGTCAAATTTAAATGTAAGTTATACGTAAACTCGTGAAAATTACGTTTGACGTTGTGGACAATAATTTCCATAGAAGTTCTATTTTATTTAATAAAAATAGAAATATGAAAATATATAAAAATTAAAAAATATATATATTTAATAAGTATTGAATTAATTGCAATATATAATTGTATTCTCATTAGCTTTTGTTAACATTTAGGGATTACGTGTAACATAGCGGCCGATCCATGCTTGCCAAATCCTTGCCGAAACAATGGCATTTGCGTCGTATTAAACGGACAAGCAACTTGTCAGTGTACATCTAGCTTTACGGGAAATAGATGCGAGACGCCACGGCAATCGTGCGGCGGTGTATCACGAAATTTTATGGGAACACTTCAGTACCCTATGGGCGGTAGCACTTACCAGCACGGATTGAGCTGCGCCTGGGTGTTAATCACAGAACCTTCGAAAGTTCTCAACATCACCTTCACGGCTTTCAATCTCGAACAGTCCACGGATTGCAAGTTTGACTTCCTACAGGTGCGATATGTGCTAACATCACATTTGGTAGTTCTAAAAGTTTTGTCAACTTCTCGTTTCTATCTTCGTAAGTAGAGCCATAAGTTCTGGAAGTCCTCGAAGTTATGTTATAGCCATTATTTGTGTTCTTATAATCTCAGGACAAAATTAGTAAAACAATTGTTTCAAGGATTTGTAAATTCTTTAATATTTATTCTAAAAATTTTTAATATTTTTAAATACTTAAATTTCAATTTTCAATTTTATATTTGATATAATGAATTAGTAAATATAAAAAATTAAGCAGAATTTTGTAGGAAATATAAGAGTGTATTTTTTTTTAAATGTATGAATATATTTTTAGATTCACGACGGCAAGAACGCTGGAAGCCAAATGATCAATAGATTTTGCGGTCCCGCATTGCCTAATGGAAACGGAAATATCATCTCGTCTCATAATAGTCTCTACTTGTGGTTCCACTCGGACAGCACTATATCTCACGACGGATTTACTTTCCATTGGAATAGCATCGATCCTGTTTGCGGAGCCGTTTTAGAGGATAATTACGGTACTATCACGTCTCCGGGCTCGCCAGGCAGATATCCCCCCAATAGGGATTGCTACTGGAGGATCTCCGTTACACCCTCGAAAAGGATTCAGTTTCATTTCGGTCAGCTGATGCTCGAGGAAAATTGCGAAGCCGACTACGTGGAGGTAAATTTTTTATACTACTTCATAAGTCGACTGGCACATAATATTATATGAGTAAACCTTCAGATTATATTATTATTATTTACGTGAAATATATTTTTCCTTTGTCAATTTTGATTTTATATTTGATATATATATATAGATAAAAGGTATGGAGGAAGAACGTTTAGGACTTTACTGCAATCACACTCGTCCCCCGCCTCTGATTACACCCAGTTCTGAAGCGACTGTTCATTTTCATTCTGATGCTACTGGTCAAGACTCCGGCTTTCAGATTCATTATTCGACGGTTGAAGGTAATAATTTGTTTGGGATACTTGATAATTAATAATTTGCGATTGTTTGATTGTGACGTCAAAGGCAAGAGAATGCACGCTGAAAATTTTTACATGCTATTTTTAGAGAAAAAAAATATTTTGATGAAACACAACTTCAGACTTTAAATGGCTTTAGCACACTTTTAAAATATTTCGAAAATTATCCTTTTCTCTTTATCAATTAACTGTAAAATGACTCCAAGGAGCCTTAATTTACACAAATTATTTATAATATAATAAGAAAATTATTTGTTAAATTATTAAATTATAAATAAAAATAATTTATAATGTCAGGCACTCCCGGTTGCGGTGGGGTTTATACAAGTGAAACTGGAATGATAAGTTCGCCCGGCCACTCGGGATCGTCTTATCAATCGAATGTGGAATGTGAGTGGAAGATACAACTGCCAGCAGGCGCACGAATCAGAGCCACGTGGTTGCGATTTAATCTCGAACCATCTTCCAGCTGTCAATTTGACTTTGTCGAGGTGATCCTTCAAATTCATTTAATCTTCCTAGTAATGGATGAGACGGGCCGCCATTGATCTTATTTTTATTCTTTCAGATTTACGATGGACCTAACAGACTTTCGCAGCTACTCGGTAGATACTGCGGATCGGATATGCCGCCGGCGATTAAGTCGAACTCAAACACTTTGGTCGTGGTCTTTAAATCTGATTGGTCTTACGAAATGGAAGGTTTCACACTGTCTTATGAGACTTTATGCGGCGGCGAATTCCACGAGGAAACGGGAATTCTCACGTCACCCTTCTATCCAAGCGTTTATCACGGCTCGAAAACGTGTATTTACGAGATTATACAACCGACAAATAAAGGAATCGTATTGACCATAGAAGATTTGGACATCGAAGGTAGAGATCCGCCGAATTGTTACTACGATTACGTCGAGATTTACGATGGTGATAACGAAAATGCAACGAAGCTAGCTACGTTATGCGGCGAGGAAGATCACATTCCAAACACTCCTTACTATTCAACGCATAATTACATGTACATCAAATTTACAACTGACAACAGTGTCGAGGGTCGAGGCTTCAAAGTTAATTATACGACCATTGATCGCAGTAAGTAGATCTGTAATATTTGGAATAATAATTATCGATGTATTTATCATATGTACATAATAATTGAATCTTTTTGCGTAAAAATGGAGTTTCGAGGATAACAAAATAAATGTTGATATTGTTCTTGTTAAGGATGCGGCGGATTGTTCAAAGAATCAACTGGAGTGATTCAGCCCCCTGTTGAAAATGGACGTTATGCCGATAACGAACAATGTATTTGGACCATTCAAGCACCGCCAGGATACATAATACAACTCACTTGGTTGTCGTTTAATTTGGAATCTCATACTAATTGCATTCATGATTACGTCAAGCTTTATGAAATTTACACTTCACCTGATGAAAATATAATAGCCACGTATGTCGCAATAAAATCATTTTTTTAAATTTTTAATTGCTTAAATTGAAAGACAATATTAATAACAAGTGCTAAGTCATCCGGAAAAGCTACAAATAATATCATTTCTATTATACATATTATGCTTATTTCACAATTAAAATTTTTCTTATATAAACTATTATTATTTTATATGTTATTATTTTTATAATTATTTTAATTAAAAATATATTATTTAGTAATATACTATATTATATATATTTTAAATATGTAATAATTTATATTATAATTTAATATAATTATAAATATAATAAATATTATATATTTATATTATAATTATATTTCAGATATTGTGGTAGTAATAAACCACCCGACCTCATGACGCAGGAACGTACACTTACCATAATTTTCCGCACTGACTCGAGTATTTCGCACGATGGATTTGCCGCCACATATGTTTTCGTGGACGTGAGCAAAGTCTGTGGCGGTCATTATTCGAAATCAAATGGTGTTATTAGATCGCCAAATTATCCTGATAATTATCCGAGTGAGAAAGATTGCACTTGGATTATTGAAGCGCAGAACAGGCACAGAATTATACTTACGGTCAATCACTTTGAATTGGAAAAACATTTAAATTGCGCATTTGACTATGTAGAAATCAGGTAATTAATTTGAACGTTATACATTATTAAATTGAAATAATTTAATGTCATTACTTTTCTATACATACGGATAATCACGTCATGTGTCTTATATTTCTTATATTAGAAATGGTGGATATAATTCTTCACCGTTGGTCGGCAAATACTGCTCAGAAATACCCAGTGAAATACCAAGTCAAACCAATCAAATGTACATTAGATTCGTCTCGGACTTCTCGAGATCGTTCCAAGGCTTTGAGATACAATGGGACAGTACTACGGAAGGTAATAGCTAGTTGTACACATGTAAATCTTCCTTTACAAAAATTATTAAGCAATTTACTTATATAAACATTCAAATTGCTTTAAATATTATTTATTAAAAATTTTTAAACTTATAAATAATCTGAAAATTTTATGTGTATTATACATATATATTTTTTTAATGTTCGAGTATCTAAAACATTTAAGATTCTTGAAAAATAAGATATCTGGAAATAGAGATAGATTAAAATGATATTAATTAATGATTAATAATATATACAATAGAATATATTGAATATAACAGTACAGTTATAATTTTTGTACTAATTTTGAAAAACAAAATTTGTTTATAGTACTTATGTATATGAATATATGAAAACGGAACTTTATTTAGAAGCTAGTATTTTTTAATTTATATTTCTTTTTTTAATTAAATATAATTTTTTTTATTTAAAGAAAATTATTTTATTTTCCACACGATTGTTATTGCATTTAATTGATATTTAAATATATTTAAAATAATATCCATCTTTATCCAACATTTTCAAGATTTTAAAAAATTCCTTGATTTAAAATAACAAATCCGAACAATTCAGAATTTTTGTCACAGATTTTTGTCATAAAAGTAATTCGAATATATTTTTAATCCATATATTATATATAATAAAAGCTCTGATAAAGTTCCACATTTATCTCAATTTCTTTTGTACATTCGACTTCAGGATGTGGTGGTATGATGACAACAGTCACCGGAGATATCATGTCTCCAAATTTTCCCCAACCTTATTCATCAAACGCGGATTGTTACTGGAAGATAGCCGTAGCAGCAGGTAGTTTAGTGCAAGTCGTAATAGTCGATCTCGATCTCGAGAATCACATCAGATGTCGATTTGACTTCATCGAAATATTTGATGGTATCAGTCACCGCACAAATGGAAGACGTTACTGCGGTACCACGTATCCCAAAATTATTCAATCTACATCTAATCAAATGACCATTCGATTTCGCAGCGACTACAGTTATTCTACCCGCGGTTTCCATCTGAAGTACGAAACACGTAAGTATGTTATTAAATCGATGCTATGTAATTTTAATTTAGTAATATTTAAAAAAATATTTAAAAAATATATATTAAAAAATATCCTACGTATTTTGCTAAAGATTTTTGATTATAAAGATATTATCAATTATAAAACGTAACACATTTTTAATACATTATATAAAAATTTGAATTAATTTTTATTTTAACTTATAATTGTGTTACTTCATCGTAGAACATTATTTTTTTATGATGCAGAATGTCACAATAAGCTACACGGCTACTACGGTGTGATAGAATCACCGAATTTTCCTAATAAATACGAGCACTTGATAAACTGTACTTGGACAATTGAGGCTCCACTTGGCAACACGATCAATTTGACTTTCACACATTTCGATCTCGAAGGAGGCACATTTTCGCAGGCTTGCTCATTTGACTATCTACTGATTATGGAAGGCGACGACGACACTCCCAATACCGAGTTAGGTCGATTCTGCGGGAATGAGTTTCCATCGAAAATTAATTCGACCCAGCATCAAGTGTTCATAACATTTGTCACGGACTCCTTTATCGCCTATAATGGCTTCCGACTCGAATGGATGGTGCACGGTTGCGGTGGACAATTGAATAAACCGTACGATTCATTCACATCACCTGGGTATCCATCTGCTTATCCGTCGAATATCGTCTGCGAATGGCTGATCGAAGTGGATTACATGCACAGCATCGAACTCACTTTTCACGAAGTGAGTATGCTGAAAAAGTACCAATTTATGAATTTACAGAAGTGATGCTAGTGAAAGTTGAATCGCGAATTTACTTTTAAAATGAACTCTTCTCTTGTAGGTGAACACCGAAAAAAATAAAGGCTGTATCTTCGACAAGATTCAGATTTACAGTGGCGAAGACGCGGATGCGCCAAAATTGACCGAGCTTTGCTACTCGGAAAAGCCGGTAATCTACACCAGTCCTGGGAACAGAATGTTCGTAAAATTCCAGGCGGATGTATCTTACGCTGGTCGAGGATTTAACGCTAGTTACAGAAGCGTTCCTATTCATTGCGGCGGTAAATTTACAACCGACTCGGGGATTATTCATTCGGCCAATTATCCGCAGAACTATCCGAGTGGTCAGAATTGCGAGTGGCTGATAGAAGTCGACAGAAATCACCTTGTAAATCTCACATTCCTGGACTTTGATATGGAGAACAGTAGAAATTGCACTGATGATTACGTTAAGGTACGTGTTATAATGTTTAAGATAAATTTAAAAAAAATTGTAAAGTTCCGAGTGCGTTTTAAATCCAGTAACAAATGTTAACTCTTTTCTGTATCTTGTATTTTTCTAGATCTTTGACGGGTCAACAAAGGATGATCCCTTGCTAGGAACGCAATGTGGCAATCAATTACCACCGCCATACATTTCGACTAGTAATCAAATGTTAGTAACCATGCGAACAGATACGATGATTTCAGCCAAAGGTTTTAAAGCTCAATATGTTAGAGCCTGCGGTGCTCGCATAATTGTGAAGGATCACGGTTTTATTTCACCCTCGAATGGACATACTGACGTACACGAAAGCCTTAATTGCACCTGGACGTTGATAGCTGAAAATCCAGGTAAATATCACGGGGTGAGCCAAATAAAATGTTGCAAGCTTCGAAAACATTCGAATTGATTTTTTTACATTAAATGGAATAGAAAGGTTAACTCTAGCGTGTAAGCAAATTTGTGAACAAAAAGAGGTTCTTTTTATTTTATTTTATTATTTATTTTTTTTTAGATGAAACGGAATTTATTATTTTTTTTTATTTGGATAACTTTTACAATTAATAACTTACTTTACTTGAAATATTTCTTTTTATTCTGCATTGTTAAAGACTTACGACAGATTTTTCCTTTGTACAATTAAAATCTTTAATAAAAATTTATTTACATATTAAATAGCCAGTCCCCAATTTTTATTTAAAAATTATGTAAAAAATTTAAATTAATATCCAATAATTTCAACAAAAAAACAACTTATAACACTTTATTTGATCCACTCTGTATGTAACTCAACGTTTGCCTCAGTTTACATGTTTGTATAAGTATTTGTATTTCTTCTTAAATTTCAATCAATTTATTTTCTGAATATTATTTGTTGTAGATGACCACGTAACTGTTACTTTCACGCATATGGAGATCGATCCGGTCGGATTTGGCGACATAGAAGGCTCCTTAGGTTCCTGTTTTTGGGACTACATCCAGGTATTCGAGGGTGAGAGCGTAGATGGACCGGTTTTGGGGAAATGGTGCAACAATATTACGCCGCCGTCGATTACGAGCACCGGAAGTGCACTCACGCTGCATTTATTCGTGCGTTATGAATTTACAGGTCATTTCGTCGCCAGTTATTCCGCTCTGAATACAGGTACGTCAAAAGTATAATATATATAATGATATACAGAATGTATATTCTCAGGAAAAAATTTGAAAACCTGGTATTCTCAGGGAATTTTGTTTTACCTTGAAAAATCAGGGAATTCTCATGAAATTTAATCGGAATTCAGAGAATTAAAAAAATGTCTTTTTGATAATTTTTTATTGACGATCCATTTCATTAATATCAATCTTATGTAAATTTCATAAAAATTGCTCGATTTTTTAATAGATAATATTTAAATTAGTACTCCTTTTATCTAATAAATAATTAAATAAATAATTTTAAATATTAATATTTCTTACGAAGTTAATAATAAATTATTTTATTTTCAATTTTTATTTTAAATTATATTCTTGCATATATTTTTAGCGTTTAGATATAATAATATATTGCACTTTGCGCTATTGTCCAAATTAATTTACAAATAATAAATCAATATTAAAAGCTAAAAACCAACGCTCTTGATAACTTTTCTATCGTATGAATAAGAAACATTAAAAAGTGTGTACAATAAAGGAATTTTTAAAAAGCTGCATCTACAAATTTCCTCATTTTAAACGAAATTTTAAACGAACATACCGGGAATATTGGAGAATTCTCAGAGAATTTTTTTTACAAAATTTGAGTAAGCACCCTGATTAAAAACAAAAAATATATAAAATAAATGATATATAAGAGATGGACGCGAACGAGATTAGAAGATGCTTTTATAATCTCTTTTATTATTTTTCAGCATGTGGCGGAACCTACACTTCCGTCCAAGGCATAATTACATCGCCGGGTTATCCAAACAGCTATCCATTGAACGCGGAATGCGTTTGGATATTGAATTTATCCCCCGGCAACAAGATCACTCTCTCGTTCTCCGAGTTTGACATCGAATCAAGTGAAAATTGCGATCTGGATTACCTCGAGATACGAGAGGACAGCGGAATTGGAAAGCTCATTAGCATTTCCTGCGGCAAAGACATCACGGCAATTACGGCCTCCAACAAACTGTGGATTAAGTTCAAGAGCGACGATTCCGGCACCGCCAAAGGTTTCGTGGGCGAGTATAATTTTATCGGAGGAAATGAACTCGAGGGACCTACAGGACGTATTACTTCACCTTTATATCCGATGCCTTATAGACGTGCAGCTACCTTCTCTTGGCGCATCACCGTCGAAATGAATTCGATCATACGCATTGAATTTACAGATTTACTGAGTGAAAATATCGGCGAATTGTGTATATCTAACATTAAAGTAAGTATCGTTAGAGAAAGATAAATATAATATTTAATATACATAAATATATTTAATAAATATTTTATATAATCAAATAATAATATTATAATTATGATTATTTATTATATAAAAATTAATTAATTAATTAATTTATATATCAATAAAAATATATTTATATTAGAATATTCTTAATTTCTCGGTTGCTTACGATTAATGAAATTGAAAGGTTTATGTGTAACTTAAATTATTAAATACTTTTTATCTATTTTCGGTTAGATATATGATGGATATGATAACGAAGCACCAATGCTATTAGAAATATGCGGCTATACTCTGCCAGATGCAATACAGTCATCAAGCAACGTGGTTTACATTACGATGACAACTAATTATCTCAGACAGGGAAGTTGGTTTGATCTCACATGGCTTCAAATACCAAGAGAAACTTCTGAAAATAATCAGGAGATCAAATGTAAGTTTTCTATATACATATGTATAATTGTTTTAATTATAAATAAATATATAATGGAATTTTATTATTAATTCTATTATTAATTCTTCCTTAATACAACTTAGAATTTCAATGCTGTATTAGCACAGCAATATAATTAAAATATAAACAAAATATTTATTTAAAAGATGTTTAAAATATATATAGCAATTAATTTTATTTCCTCACAGTGTCAGATGCATGCAGTAAGGAAGTAGCTCTGATAGGTGAGCGCAACAACACGTATACCTTCAGCTCTCCCGGCTGGCCGTACGGCTATGCTAGCAATCTGCATTGCAGTTGGATCTTCACATCGCCTCCCGGAACACATTTGGTGCTGAGAATACTAGCTATGAACTTGGAAGAAACCAATGATTGCATAGCGGATTCGGTTTCCGTATATTCGGGATACGCACTGACATCGACACCGAGCAATGCTGATCTGTTAAGTAGATTATGTTTGGCAAATTCCACTTGGGCACAAATCAAAGGGACTAATGTGATGACAGTGAAATTCGATTCGGATGGATTTATTAACAAAACCGGCTTCAGCGCATATGTGTATCGAGGTTTTGAATACTTTATTTTTGTGGCAAGATGAACTTTTTAATTGCGATTCAAATATTCGTGTAAAAAAATATTTTTATTGTTTAGATTGCGGAGGTAACCTGACCGGTCCCAATGGCGTGATTGAATATGATAATTCCACTTCTACAAGAGCGATTCGCACGTGGCGTTTCAATTGCGAATGGATTGTGACAGTGAAAACCGGCAGAACAATTAAAGTTCAGATTACCGATATGTCAATACAAGAAATGCCTGATCATTCATGCGGCAATAATTATTTGTTGGTTAGTAAACGTATTATCAATTTTTAGTGTCATTAAATCATAAATATTAACGTTTACATTTAATATTTGGAAAAATCAATTAACATGTGCGTTTATAAACAAAAATCAATTTATATGAGAGCAAATTTAATGTTTAAAAATAATATATATTATATATATATTCTATATTTTATATATGAATCAACATTTTATTGCGTTTTCTCAGGATTACAATTATTATATATACAGTGTATTTTTAACCACTAACTTATATTAACTGAAATTATCATTTTGCTTAGCTGAAAAATGGAGATGGAATTCTTTCACCTCTGTTAGGCAATGGAAAATATTGTGGTAGTGTAGTACCACCAGAATTAGAAACCACTGGGAATCGTCTTTATGTTAAAGTTGCTGCCATGGGTTATCAATATCGTTTTAAACTCACTTACAGGTAATTGTGGCATATTTTCTTAGATTTAAATATACATATACGTATATTTCTGTATACCTATACTATACATATATATATATATATATATATATATATATATATATACGTTTATTTTAGTTTTATATTAATTTCATCTTGTTTATTTTAGAGAAGTAAGTATGAACTGTAGCGGTCAGTTTGTCTTCTCAAGCAAACAGAAAAGATGGGAAATATCATCCCCCAACTATCCAAACATCCCTCCAAACTATGCCGAATGTACTTGGACAGCTATTGCTCCTGCTGGTGAAAGGCTTTCAATCCATTTCTTGGAGAGATTTGATTTAAGTTATTCTGAAAAGTAAGAGATTATATTCGAGAGAAAATAAATTTCTTAACTAAAAATTTTCGCTGACGAAAATGTTTCTATCATAATAACAATTTTTTTAGCTGCAAGAGAGAATATATTGAAATAAGAGATGGCGGAACTGATGGTTCAAGGTTCATGGGAAGATATTGCAAGGACGTTGCACCCAGCAGTATGACTACTACTGGCAACATGATATATATTTACTATTACACGGATTTACCAGAACCTAAAAATGGCTTTAAAGCTGCAATTATCTCAGGAGGTACGCTAAACGCGCTTTAAAATTTATTTTTATTTATTAAAGCAATTATAATTAATTATTTATATTATATTTAATTAATTATAATTGCTTTAATAAATAAAAATAAATATTTAAAACAACATAATTTAATTATATACTTTAATAATTTATAATTATATTTTTGTTCTAATAATGTAGTGTTAATTTTTTTTACATAGAGATCTGTGGTGGAATTTTACGCAGTAGTAGTGGTGTTATCTCATCTCCGAATTATCCGAATTTCTATCCTACAAATCAGACTTGTTCCTGGTTGATAGTAGCACCGACGGATCATATCATAAAATTAGAATTCCGCGACCTACAGTTTCCTGGTTTTCATCGGTGTGATTCGACCGATCACGTGAAAATTGCAGAAAAACTTCCAGAAAATGATACAAGTAAGTAATAACGCAATTGGTTACGTAAATTCAGATTTGTATCCATCAATTAATCGTAAGGGTGATTGCGTGTTTAATATAATATTTTTAAAGTTTCAGACATTGGAACTTTCTGCGGTCTTATAAAACCGGATGTAATTGAGACGTCAACAAACGAAGCATACGTTTATTTCAAGAGCGATAATAGGGAGTACCTAGGTTACAGAGGGTTCAGTTTAAACTTTACTGTTAGTCGAGAAAGTTAGTAACCGTGAAACAAACTTTATTATCAAGCTTATTGTTAATCGTACAATTACAAACTATACTCGATATGTTATCCGTACAATTTCTAATTTTACGTTACGTCATATGTCTGCTTGTAGCATGCGGTGGTTTATTAACTGCAATGAGTGGAGTAATTAAGTCACCCGGATATCCTAATCCACGTACACGACCCAGGTAATTTTATTTTTTTTAATTTTAAAGAACCTAATCCTATCGTCAAACTATATATAGAAAAATATTTTACATATATCAAACGCCTATTAAATAAAAATTAAGAATAATTAGATTAATCGCAGATTAAAACATTTATACAATTTTACTTACACAAAATATTGCAGACATTGTAATTGGCGAATTGAATTACCGCTGGGTTATCAAGTGGTGATAAACATTATGGATATAGACATTGTTGACGATGTCCAGGTGCATTATGGGCTCTCGGTAAATATAATAATACACTAATAAAATATAAGAAACATTTCAGGGGAAAAGAACGTGCTAATAATTTTGCCCTTTGCAGTTTTACAACGATTTTGGTTTTAATTCCAAGATCATAGGCTTGGGACAGAGTGCTACTAGTACAGAAGAGATAAGGAGCTCTAGTAATACTATGATTATCAGTTATTGGTCTTCCACCGGGCACCGAGGTTTCAAACTTCGATATACGGCTCAAGCGCCAGCCCGTAAGTTTCCAAAGCCATTATTGATTATAATTTATTCATCATGCATTATAATAAACGCAATGTTAAATGTGTGTGGAAATACATTTTCTAATTATATTATAATTTAATTTTCGTATGATACTATAAAAAATATAAGGAGAAACACATACAATTTTTTAATTTTTTATTAATTAACTTATTAATTGATTTATTATGTGATATATTGATTTTAATTTATGGATTCAGTAAAGTTATTGATTTATTAATTTATAAATTTTTTATTAATGCATGCGCAGCTTGTGGTGGACATCTGAGACAACTTGAAGGCAATATAACGACTCCTACAAGTCTGCCGTTTAATCAAACTTCATTTGTCTGCTACTGGAAATTGGAACCACCCGAAAACATGATCGGTTCTATTTATGACAACCGTATGACATTGTCAATAAAAATCATGGGCTACTTGAGCAGATCTGACAATGTGTCTATTATTAGAAGAGACTGCATCTATCCTATATACGTTGAACTGGAGGGTAAGAGAACTTTAGTAAAGAGATACTATTCGATTTTTCTTTCTCTCTCGTTTTTTATTTCATAATAACAAATGTCGAAAAATAGTAAATAAAAATCAATTAATTATAAGTGCGTTATAAAATGTACAAAATGTAATCACTAATTGTAAATATTACAGATTTTGGAAGGAAATGCGGGAATATAACGACACCAATATATTTAAGAAGCCCGAAAATGATCAACAGGTTGACGGTAATTAATATTTATTCTATACATGAAGTGCTGAAAAAAAGGAATTTTAATTAATCTATTAATTTTTAGATAATGAACGCTACTCGTGGAGAAGTTATGAATTTTAATATGCAATATCAATGGCAAGCTTGCGGTGGTGTTTTGGGTGGTCCAGTTCACACTATCAAACCGCCGAAGAATATTTCTTATCCGATAAACTGTGTGTGGCATCTGGATTATCCCGATGGTGAAATGATCAAATTAACTTTCACCAAACTTCAATTGGAAAACAATTGCGACCAGAACTATCTCATTGTCAAGTAGGCTGTATTATAATTTTTTATTTTTGATCTCAGATTCAATCACAGTTGAAAAATTTGTGTTAAATTTAATATATATATCACATGTTCCAAACGGTCTACAGAAATTTTTGTGTTAATTTAACATAATATGAATATGTTAAATAGTGACACAAATATTATGTTAATATTTTAACACAAAAAATGCAAAGCTTTAAATAATTTGAAATAAATTTTGTGTAAAATTAACGTAGTTTTAATATAAAAATTAACTAAAAAAATGTTAATTTTACATTTTATCATCTCTACTTATAGAATAAGATCAACATTTTTTTTATAAACTTTAGACAAATTTTGTAACTAACAATACAGAACGATTATTGTAACTAATAATACAGAACGTTTATTATGTAAAACTAAAAATAGATGCACATTTTATTATTTTTACACTTTTTTTTTAGTTTTAATAATTTAACACTTGAGTTCGATTAACACAACAACAATATATTGAATTAACAGATAAATGTGTTAAATATTTAACAGAAAAATTTTAATGAGGATCTTTTTAACAAGAAAACACTCCAACTGTGATCTGAATTGATTATTTATTTAGTTATATTATTTATTTATTTATTTCTTGTGTGTAATCAGAAATGGCAAAGCATCTGCGCCGCAAATGGCAAAGCATTGCTTGCATGCTGAGAGCCAGCTTGAGAAATATAATATAAACAGCATATCGAATCACCTGTGGATAGAATATTACGCCTCGCATAATCAAAGCGATTTTGAGATTCATGCGGAGCCTTTTAACAGAGGATGTGGCGGATCATTACGCGGTCGCAGTCGCGAAATTACATCGCCCGAGTAATTATTTGTGATAATAATACAGCTTAAAAAAAAGATTGTTTAATAATATTTTTGCAAAATATTGCAGATTTCCCAAACAATATCCGAACAACGGTGAGTGTACCTGGGAAATAATTGGCGACAATGGATATCATATAGGTCTAACTTTCATCGATCGTTTCAACCTGGAGACTAGTCCTAATTGCGAGAAAGATTATGTGCAGGTCTAATTATTTACATCAAATTTATTTTAATTAAATTATATTTATTATTAGATCATTACATTTATAATTTTTTTTTTCATATATTGCATATGTATGATAAATAGTAAATATTTCTCATTATTTTATTTTTAATCTTTTTGTTAGAATAATATTTTGTAATAATGTTTTGGAATTTTCTAAAAATTATTATTAACAAAATAAATTTTACAAAATAATAATTTTTAATTAATAATTTCTATAATTATAATTCATAATTTTTAAATTATTATTGACGATAATAACTTGTATAATTAAAAAAAAATTTTAATAGTAACAATAATTATTAAAAATGATTGGCGAATAAAACGATGCTGTGCAGCTATTCGATTGGATCGTAACAGACGGAAATAACGACAGTGGAGAATGGAAGAGTCTCGGCAAGGTTTGCGGCAGAAATACACCTGCGCCCTTTAATTCGACGTCGAACCGGATGAAGGTGATCTTTCATTCAAACGAGGCAGTACAATCGGACGGTTTCCGCGCCGTCTGGGACGAGAATTGCGGCGGTGTTTTCAAAGCGACCGAGAAGGTTAACATCATCCAATCGCCGTTGTATCCAAACCTGTATCCGTCCAACGCGTTCTGCAATTACACCATCGTCGCCCCAGACGAGGACATTATCGTCGAGTTCACTGACTTTCAACTCGAGCGCGGTGAGTGAATCTCTCACCCTTCTTCTTCTCCTCCTCTCAGCCTGTGATGAAACTCCGTGCATTATGTGCTACTGCAAGCATAATATAGCACCTTAGTAAGCCTTTCATGAAGGATACGATAATGTTTGAGATATGAATAAAGTTTACGAAAGTTTTAAATGGAGAGAACGCGAGAAAAATTGCAAAAGATCAGAGTGATGTTAATTTTGACAGGTCACAGTGACTGCCGCTTCGACAATGTCACGGTCATATCGAAAATTCAATACGTGATAGGACATGAGGAAAATGTCGAGGTTTATTGCGGTAACAATAAACCGCCACTCTCGAAGACTGTCTCACCTGTACAGATCATCTTCATCACAGATAGATATGCGCAGCGAAGTGGTTTCCAATTTAAATATTTCCTTAACAGTAAGTTTCTCACAAGCATTAAATTAACACAAATTCAGATATGAAAAGTATTAATAAGAGAGATAGATATTAAGCGCAGCACAATTGCTTTTAAATTCCTCTTCAATTAATTGGAACGTTTTGATTTTTCCTCAGCATATCAATTAATAAAAAAAATCCTGTATATTTTTTACATCTGAATTTGTGTATATATATATATATATATATATATATATATATATAATATATATATATATATATATATATATATATATATCAGAGTCTTTTCAATTTATTATTTGAGAATTATATTGAAGAATAATTTATAATTATTAGAGAATACAATTGGTGCTTTTAAAATATACACGATAATTTTACGATAATAAGATAATTATAGGAAAATTGAAAAAATAACGAAATCAATGTAATTAACAGAATGCGGTGGCATAATTACACACCCCACCGAACTCAAACCTTTGATGCGTGGAGAGGAATATTTTGGACGTATGAATTGCACTTGGATCATTAAAGCGCCGGAAGGAAAGAGCGTGCTTGTACGATTCGAGAAGTTCATCCTCGAGTTCAGCTCAAGGTACGCTCTCAATACATCCACGTTTATTTATATATGTATTAATAATACATAAATATTGTAAATTTTTACAGCTGTTACTTCGACAATGTTGCCGTTTACGAGGGTGCTTTAATTAAGGCTGATAAACGGCTAGCTCTGGTTTGTGGAAACTTGACTGAGCATTTACCAACATTTAAATCCGAATCCAATTCCATGGTCGTCAATTTTAATGCCGATAGCTCGAGGCACTTCGCAGGTTTTACGGCCAAAGTACTGTCTATTGTCATTTTTAATTATTTATTTTATTATCAAAAGAGATTTATCAAAATGGATAATAACAAGTAATAAAAAAATAATGACCGTGTTTATCAAAAAATTCACAATGACAAGTAATAAAAGAATAATAACCATATTTTTCATCACTATTCAATTACTCTTCTGTTATTACTTTGCTAACATTGTCGATCAAATTGGGGTGAAACAATGTGTAATAACAATAGACAATTTTTTTTAGGTATTGTTCACAACAAGTCCAGTTGATGGTTGCGGACAATATATCAATATGACCTCGATTCAATCCAAATCGTTTAAAACTCAGCAGACGGCAACTTATCAATCATTTGAAGAGTGTCATTGGACTGTGGTTACTACGCCGGGAAAAAATATTAGATTTACTATTAATAGTATGGATATCAAGAATTCGACTAGTAACTCCACTTCCATCAAGCAAGATGATAGATGCAACGGTGATTACCTCGAGGTAAGTTTGCGCACTGATAAATAAAACTACTGATAGCATTGCATTGCAGCAGTATATGCGTAATGTAATGTCTTATGATAGATAATAAAATAATACGAAGCTATTAAAATGAACAATTTCTTGCCATTCTTCAATGCAATATCAATAAAAAAATTGAAATTAGCAATAGATAAAAAATAAAAAGATTATAAAGAAGAAATACGTATTATTGTAATTTGTTAAATTTTTTATGTTTGTGTTTTTTATGACAAAACAGGATAAGAAAAAGGTAAAATAATTTAAGGCGACTTAGTATGTCTGAAAATAAGTTAAAAAGTCTAAACATTAGGTCCGCAAATGAGCTATTTATGAAATATTTGCAATATCTCATATAACTTAACTCACCTTATAACTTATCTATAAATTTATCTATATTCACATGAATAAAGTAATATAAAAGAAAATAATAATAATATAAAAATTTGAAACAAAAAATCGATTTGTTTTTGGGCATACTAAATCTACTTAAAATATTTTATCCTTTTTTTAACATCCTAAAAAAGTAAAATAAATAAATATATAAAAATAAATTAATATTGTACATTTTATTATTTTTAGATTCGAGATGGTGCTGGATTGTATGCCAAACTTCTCGGTCAATTTTGTGGAAATGTACCGCCACCACTTCCTGTAATATCCACTTCAAACTCCCTGTGGATTAGATTTTATACTGACGGAACTAATGAAGGTGCAGGTGCAACAGCCACCTTAGATGTTGTCAATTGTAAGAAATTTTGTACTTATCATTTCAACAATTGATTAATAATTCACGTATTTGTATATGACAAAATATATTTAAATGCGCAATTTTTTCATGATAAATGAATTAAATCCTAGCAATATATTCATAATTTTTCTCTGTCAGTCTTTTAATTATTTTTATTGATTCTAAAGATGCGCGTTCCAACTACCTAAAAGTTCTTATATTTATTATTATATTCGATTACAAATTTCGTTGACTCTTTCTTTGATTAGCCTTATTTTAATGATGGTTTTATTATATTACAGCATTGTGTGGCGCAACTAATCGAATAGTAAACAGCACAGTACAAATACTCACTTCTCCAAATTATCCAGATACGCATACAGCTGGAATACAATGTCAGTGGATCTTACGATCTCCTGATAGGTATAGTGACAGACAACGAATTCGATTTATAGATTTTGATATGACAGACTCGAGCAAGTGCGAGAATGAGTATTTAGAAATTGCTGAGCAGGGGGTGAGTCTTTAATAACATACAGAACAAATATTCTAAGTCTGCATGGATTTGTTGATAATATCTTTTATTTTTAAAAAATGTATATAATTCTCTCTATTATATGTGTATATAATAATTTAAAACTTTTATAATTGATCAATTTACATACATTATTTTTTTTTAATAATTAATAATGTTTTTTTTATAAAATTAGAAATATATAAACGAAGGCTTCGGAACAGACTTTATTTTTAGTGGTGTAAAAAAACACCAGGTAACCGTTGAGATGGTAAGTTTTTTCTTTTTCTTTCTAAAATGACTCATTTATCTTTTTTATACAATTATTCTTTTATTTTGTACTTTATTTAAACTTTATACATATATACTTATTTTATATTTCAGGGTAGCCTTATACCTTCCTCTTCGTACAAATATTGCGGCAGCGCTTTGCCACACGATTATTATGGGTTTGAATTTTATTCTACTAAATTATTATATGATTAAGAGCAGAATATTTTATGTCAAATTAATTTTTTCCCACAGTTACGGCGACAGCGTGCAAATAACTTTTAAATCGATGTCGAATAACCACAAAGGCTTTAAGTTCGAATACAGTACAGCGAACTGCGATCGGAATTACACGAGTGAACAAGGACGTATCTTTCATCAGGGATTTACTAACTGTTGGATCACCATCACAGCTCCAGCAAATCATACTATTTCCTTGTACTTTAATCAATTTAGCGTTTACGATATAGAACATTGCACGCAAAACGCAGTACAGGTAAATATATTTTATTTTCTACTAGGATTATTATTTGAATAATCGTATAGTTTTATTTTCCGACTCTTATTACTAGAATTCCACTCCGTTTTATTTTCATAATTTAATTATAATAATAAAATATTGTTTAAAATACAAATATAATTAATATAATATATAATCAAGGTTCGGGTAATAACTAGTTTATTAGTTAAAAGTTAATTTTTAACTTAAACTATTTAGTTATTAACTTTTTACCCTAAATTACAAATTTTTTATCTTCAAAAATGTCATTATTTTTTATAAAATCTCATATATTGGACAATTTAATTTTTAATTAGGATTAAATTTTAATAAGAGCATTATTTTGTCATTCTTACAAGTATGATAATAAATAATGATTTTATATATTATTGGTTTTTTTCATAATAGTAATTACAAAAAAAAATACATTTCTATATAAAAAACAATTTTTGTTATTTGTTAATTCTAAAAAATTAAAATGTTAAATTAAAATATTTTAAAGTTATGATATTTTCATTTAATATATAAAAAATATTGTTGAAAATTAACTTTTGATTTAACTTAATTTAATCTCAACTCAACTTTAACTGACAATGAGTTACTTTTTCGTTCATGCTACTTTTTAACATGACTAAATTAATTTTATAAGTCATTAACTTTTAACTTAGTTTTAAAAAACAATTATTTTACCCAACCCTGAATTTAATATATATAATGTAATAATATAATTATTTGAGAAATTACAAAACTTATGTATGGTGTTAACTTATTTTTAACGAAAGAAAAAATTCAAAGGACGCAAAATATTTGTCCTTGCAACATTGTACATCTAAAATTTCGAGTAAATTGTGTTAACATTTCATAGATTCATGACGGAAACTCCAGCGGACCGCTCATAACGACACTTTGCAGCACAACGACACCAAGTCCGATTTTCAGCAGCGGCAACAAACTCACTCTGCACTCCTGGACCGAGGGTGCCAATTCTTATCAAAGCTACGACATAATTTACACGACCACGAGTGCAGGTATCATTCTTCTGTCTACCTCTCCTACCCCTTTTGTGTCCGATTAATGCGCGCCACCAGATGCAGAGAAATTACAACAATGATTTACGAGGTTTGCACATATACGCGTGCTCGTGAAACGTTGCGGTTTATTTTCGCGCGAGAGGATCCTCCTGATTATACGATGTCGCTTTTCAAACGTCGCGTTAAAACAATGAATATACATGTATGGTATACGTTGGCTGCAAAAACGAAATTGTCGCAGGTCGTGGTTGCGGCGGTCGGATATTTAATTACGGCGGCAGATTCACCTCGCCCTTGTACCCCAATGTATATCGCAACAACACCGTATGCACTTGGGATGTAAGCGTGCCACGAGGCTTCAAGATCATTCTTCAGTTCCTGGTCTTCGACATCGGAACGAGGAAGAATTGTGACAATAACAATGTCAAAGTTTACGATGTCGTTCCTAGTGGTGAACTGTTACAAACCACTTATTGCGGCGGAGTAAGTAGTGTCATCGAAATTATACATATGAGTATATATATAGACACGTGTCAATACTTAACATACTGATACGTAAGAAATTGTCTAAAAAATTTCCTAAATATTTTTATGAACAGAACTTTTTGGATATATTTAGGGGCAGCCTATGGTCGGAACTATGTTGCACATTTTTCTAAATTTGAACAATGAAATTGTATAGTTTTCGACGTGTTCTATAGTTCTGTAACATAGTTCCGACCATAGGCTGCCTCTAAATATATATTTAACTCAAAAAATTCGAATTTTCGAATATATGATAAGCGTTGACGTTTTTTCATATTTTGAAGCCTGCTTAAACATATTCAACATATTAATTAATTATTAATAAAGCATTTTAATAATTATTTAATTTATGAATTATTTAATTATCTAATTTTATAGTTATTTATCTGTATAAAGAGTCTTATTTTAGTATTATTATTTAATTTGTATTAATAATATATTATTTAAAGATTCATATTTTTTAACAGTTATTAGCTGATTTCTGTCAAAAGATTAATGGAGTTCAATTTTTATTATTTTTTTAAATAAATATCAATTTTTTAATATAAAAGTGAAGAATGGCGCACGCTTGTGTTGTTCTAGTATGTAAAAAATTAAATTTCAAATTTTTCATTAAAGGATCATACATAATGGATAGTTTTCGAAATTTTTTTTGTAACATATATGCATATATACAATTAAGAATATATGTATAATATTATTTTTTTGTATAGGATGATCCTGCGAGATTGGAAATTGATACTGATCGAATTCTCGTGAAATACACTTCGACAGTGAACAATATTGGAACGGGATGGGTTATTGCATTTATGGCACAATCTACTGGTAAGTATAGACATTCGTTTCCACATGATTGGAATCTGAATTTTTCTTCCTATAACTCAAATCGTGCAACGATAAAAGATTTTATATATATATATAATTGTAAAATAATTTTTTTTTTTTTTTAGATCATCCCGTCGATTTAATGGATAGTAACTGGTGAGAAAAGTATCAAGAGAGACTGTAAAAAGTGATGTTTATAAATTTAAAATTTAATAGCAGACTTTTCGAATTTACGTATAATTAGATATAAATAAGTAAAATAAATAATGATATCGTGCGCGATATCATTTGAGACGATTAAATTGATATAATGCGATAAAGTTAATATATAGTATATGAGTAATCTTTATTGTTCGACATTTTAAAATCTTTTCTAGTATATCAAAATGTTATTCCTCCAATCTTGTACAGTCTTCGTTTTGAGCTAGACATTTTTCTTCGTTTTCTATCTCGCTTTTTTCCACGGTGTCCTCTTCATTTAAATTTTCAACTTTATTTACGCTTTCTTCTTCTTCAATAGGACTTGCCGCTTGTTCCTCTTCAGTTTCCTCTTTCTCTTGCACTGTTTCCCGCTCTTTCTTATTTTTCTTACTTATCTTCGGTGTTTTTTGAGCCTCTCTTTTCTGCTTCTCCTTGGTCTTGCGCACATTTTTTTCCAACTCGGAATCTTCAGATGGCAAATCGGTTTCTAATTCTTCCTTGGTTGTTTCGGACCCTAGTTTTTTAGATTTTTCTTGCTTTTTTCTGTCATTTTTTGTTTTCTTATTTTTTTTATCAATAACGTCTTGAACATTTTCAGAATGTTCTGATTTGGAGCGCTTTATCCTCTTCTTATTTTGAACCTCAGCATTCGCATCATCTTTAACATTTTCTATTGCGTCGATATTTTTCGATTTCTTATTCTTTCCTTCCTTCCTTTTCTCTGACTTTTGGCGAATCTCAGAATTCTGAGAAGCCTCGAATTGCTTCTTAGATTCTTTAGATTGATCTTTGTTGCTATTATCTTTCTTATTTCGTATTTCCGTTTTCGTTTTATCTTTCGCTTTATTTTCGGAATTTCTATTTTCTCTCTCGCTTGTCACTTTAATATTTTCCTCACGTTTGTTTCGCTTGTTCTTCGATTTCTGCTCAGAATTCTTTGCCTCTGAATATTTTTCAGAAGGAGTTTCGACATTTTGTTCCGACGAACTGCTCTTTCTTTTTTTCGTGCTCTTATCGAACTGTTCTTTATCGTGTTTGTCATTTTTCTCGATTGATGCTTATCTCTAAGAAAAGAGAATCATTCATAAATAACATAGAACCATATTAATAATATTGACAAAAAATTGTAGTTTTAAAGATATTAATTTATATTTTTATTTGTTTATTGAGAGATCCAAATATAATCTTTCTAATTCTAAACTTTTTAGTCCAACTTAATATGGCATAAAATAAAGATGCTAAATGAATGATAAAAATATATAAATTGATTTTTTTTTGTTTTCTGTTTATCAAATACTCACTTTGTATTGTGCTGTACATGGATTTCTTTTCGTTTCTCGCTGTTATCTTTGGATTCTACATCTTTATTTCGTTCTTTATTTGATTGTTTCGCAAAAACATCTGACGCAAATATCGCGACTAATAAAAGGGCAGTCAATAATATCCACAATCTGTAAATAAGAGAGATCAAATTTTGTTCCTTAATATGTTGAGAATTATTAACTTAAGTGTTTCTTGTCATATAATATATAATTCCGAATGTTTAAAATAAAATATATATAATTTCTTTTACCGCATTGTAAGACAATTTGCGAATATCACTTAATCACACTTTGATTTTCTTCGTACAAATAATCACGGGGCCAGTCTGGCGCAACACTATCTCTGTGGAGATATTACTTGCCCCTTATATCTCCGTATGTTCTCACCAGTAATATCTCGATAAACACGTATGTATGTTCATCAGCGTCGTTATGATATCAATATCGCGAACGCTATCTGAATCAAATCTGTGCAGGAATTATAACTTACTAAAGCGAATACGTAGTATACGAATGCGCAAAATATAAGATTCACGCGTCAATACAAACTTTCTTACTGAGTTTTATAAACATAGACACGACCTAAATGACTTGAAATGTGATAAGATAATTTTCTACACTTTTAATTCTTCCATTTATCTCTTATATGTTCAAATGTATACATTATTTGAATATTTATAATATTTAGATTTTACTGATGTATTTTTAAATAGGAACTATATATTTTGATAAATAATATTTCAATCCTATAATAATACTAAAATAATATATTAAAGTGGATATCTTATTAGAGATATCTAATCATAATATCAATAATGATTGGCTGACAAGTGTTTCGTATCTTTTTTATGTTATCTTAGTATAGTTTTTATGTTATCTAAGCACTCAAACTATATAAACATATAATAAACAAAATTTAAAAATAACTTTTTTATTATGTATATATAAATGGATTTAATAATAAGTGATAAATTTAGAGGATACATATTTATCATCGTAAAAATCTCAAAATCTATTATTTCTCTTAAAAATATTATTTTGTTATTTAAATGCATTATTGTTTAAATTATTTGTTTTATTAAAATTAAATTATAAGTCATTCTTTTAGTCTACAATTTTTTATAATTGTAGTTCTAATTTTAATAATCTATACTCTATACATATATATATATACATCAAACAAATCATAACATTAATAAACATCGAAATATCTAAATAAGATTGAAATAATATATTTCAAAATGCTATTAATCGTGTAAAATTAATCATTATATCAGGGAGAGTAAACAGGTCTACAAAATAAAGCGCAAAATGCGCAATAATAGTCATTCATGAAAATTAATTCGAAATGCAAGAAACAGAATTTAGTGTTCAGTGTTGTATTAACATCTCTTGAAACACGATTATTCCGTATGAACAATAACCATTATCAGCTCGCTCAAAATTAATTGACTCCTATGATTAACGATTTGTGTAAGCGTATCGAAACAACGGCCGTATATTGAAGTAGATATTCGCGATTTATTCGAAGTAGAAATTAAATCAATATAAAAGGGAATTGCGAATTATAAATTACTGTTTCATGGTATTTAGAAATTAATTAATTTCTTTAATATTAATTTTGAATTAAAATAATTTTACCGCGTTTTAAATTTTTCATTAATTTTATGTATAATTATGTATTAATATATATAATTTAATGTAATTTGATCGACTAATTCAAATAAGAGAAAGTCAATATTAATATTTTTGACAATTATCAGCTGATTTCTGTCAAAAAAATAAATATTTCCGAATTGTTTGTCTAAATGGCTATTAATTTAATATGACGTATGTGTATATAGAATGATTGTTAAATATTAAAAGTATTAATAATTTTCGACTGCATAGCGTATAAATACGACGTTTTTGTGCGATTGATGATTTATTAAAATCTCTCCTGCGTATATGAAATTAGTCTAGAAATCGCGAACGACCGCAATTAAACTTCGCGCGTTTTTCCCGCGTTTTCTGTCATGATCACGTGACAATGATGAACGTCGTTCCGGAGTCTAGAGCAACGTCCCAAACGCAGGACAGGTGGATTCTGAATCGCGATGTATTTATTAATTGGTAAGTCATAATTAGAATTGTTTTAATAATTTTAGATTGCTCGCAGTATGTAAAATCGACGTTCGGCGATACGCGGAATATATCATCGTTTACGCACGCTGTCATATATTGTTGTCATTCGCGCGACGATTCTCGAACAGGTAGGCAGCTCCAGATTACGCATTTTTCGAGCCGCGATTGCGAGAAGTATTACGGATTACGGGATTATTTTCTGAGTAATTAGTGAACATCATTTCGCGCAATTGCTTGACTCTTACAATTAAATAAAATTAAATTGCTAAATAAATCATATTTTAATTATTTTCGATTGTTCACTTAACCTCCGCTATTTGAAGGATGCGAAGTTAGTCTCTTTCGAATCGAGTTAGTTTCTTTGGAGATATCGAGATGGCGCGGTCGTGACTATCGAGAGTTTCGCGCGCCTTTCCCGCGTTATTTTCCCGCCAATTGAGTACGTATCGCCCGCCATTAAAGTTAAAGTCGAAATGTCGCGCGCTGATGAATCGTATTCGAGTGTGATATAAGTGCGCGCGTAATTACTTGTGTTTACGAGTATGTGCTAATTATTAATTAATTGTTTTCTGTAGTGAGTACCACGAAGGAGTAACAATATGATGAAATAAAAGAGAAGGAAGTTCGGCATGGCATTAGGCGTCTTTAATTGAAACAATTTTAAGGTTGGATTTATTATTTATTTATTAGTTATATATAATAAAATAAAATTTATTCGTGTATTAAATAAAAAGTTATAAAATTATTTAATTTCTGCTTGAATTTTGTATGCGTATGGAAAATAATATTCAATGTATACAATATAATATAATTTTTTAATTAATAAATTAAATATTAATTATTTTGTGCGTTACTATATAATATGAATTTTATTTGTATGTTACAGATATAAAATCCATCTGACGATTTTGAAAATCTGAGAGATCTGGGAGAAATATTAGGTATCAGAGCAGAGTAACCAAAGTTTCGCCTGTTTAAACATTAAGTGCGGGAGTGTCGTGTAAAGTGTCGCGCGTTCAAGTGCTGAAGTATCGTGTAAAGTGTCGCGTGTTCAAGTGCGGGAGTGTCGTGTAAAGTGTCGCGCGTTTAAGTGCGGGAGTGTTGTATAAAATATCGCGCGTTTAAATCAATAGACTGATAATTATCATGCAATCCTGATCAATCTGAGAGGAGGAGCAGGCCTAGGAGAGGCATCAAGCGCCGGTGGAGCAACTCTGTGGTGAGTATTTATTTATATAATATATTGGAGGTATATACTTTATTTATATAATATTAGGAGTATTTATATATATAATATTTACACAATATTTATATCATATTATATGCAAATCACGTATTTTTTACGCGTATATAATAATGAATTCTATTTAATATATTTGAACAATTTAAATAGAGGAAAATTAGAGAGAAATACACTTTGTATAAATATTATAAAAGTTTATATTAAAAAAATTATCTTTACAAAATTTATATAAAATTATTCAATTATATATCTACTGATTTTATTGTACGCATCAAATATAAAATTTAAAATAAAATACTAATTTTTAGAGATATTAATTATATAAAGCATTGTTATAATTTATTTTCTATTTGTATGTTACAGATCAACGTAGCTTTCAATACAGTCAACTTCGTTGTTACGCATCATCGATTGGTAAGTGATAAACTATATTTTATTACCAGGTTTTTAACCGTTTTATAAATATATTTGATAGTAGGGATATATATTTAAAATAAGAGATTAGACTAAAAATTGCGATAATTAATTTTTTCATAAATTTAGGGTCGCCATTTAAACATAAATTAACAGTTATAAGTTTATAATAATGTACAATTTGCTTTAAACATTTACATAAAGTTAAATTTGCTTTCGTCACATTGGATAAATTATTGCATTATTTATTTATTTTTATTGTTAATTGCTTTTTGAAATTTGTAGCATTCTAAGTTCAAAAAATCTATTTAAAATACATCAATCTATAATATGTCTAATAATATATAATATGCATGTAATATGCAATATTTTTGAAAGGAGGGAAGAAATGATAATCATATAATAAAAATGCTGCAATTAATAAAACTATCTGTGTTAACTTATATATTTTGAATTCAATCGTATCATGTATAATCTTCATCCTATATTTGTCATATATTTATCGTATAATATATTGTATAATATCCGTCATTTCTAGAATAACAATTCGCATAATACAGTCTTTACTAATATTAACTTCCTGGTCCTCGACTTTATAGAAATGCTAATCTTATATAATTCTATTCAATAATGATAAGTTAATATAAAGACGTTTAAAGAGAGATAAATTGATAATATTGATGAGACATTGCCACATGACGCACTAACGGAAAATTTCTATAAACGCGATACATAAATATATTTTATATAAGAAAAATTATATTCATATGTGTGGTTATAAAAATACATTAAGAAACAAACTAAATTAAAAGTAATATTGTAGAATGCAATAAATTTGTTTTATTTCCATTAAAATTTATTTATTTAATAGAGAAATTGCAGTTTATTTAAAATGTTAAACAAACTTGTTTTTAACAAATTTCATATATATATATATTGCAAGAAATAAATTTCTATAATAAAATTAATTATTTCTATAAGAAAATTTCTTGAATTATAATTTTAAGAAAATTAAGTTTTCTTTTAAAGTATTTGAAGTATATTATATTTTAAATATTAATAAAAATAATAGAGCACATTCGTCCCACATTTAAAGTTTATAATTAATTTATAATTATAAATTCTAATTGTAACTAATTTCTACAAACATATTATTATACGAAGTGAAAATAATGTAATATTTTCATCTTGTATTATGTATTACCACAAAAACATTATTTAATAGCCAGGGTTGGGAAATAAAGAGTTACTTGTAACGAAGTTACAGTTACTTTTTTTCGGTAACTTGTAACTGTAACTAGTTACTTTTTCAATGAAATAACTGTAACTGTAATTAGTTACTTTTACAAAGTAACTTTCCCAACCCTGATAATAGCACATCATTAATGTATAAATCTTACATATTTACAGAAGTATATTTATGTATCGATATATACTTTGATTTTACCAATTTATATAAAGTACTTTGTCCGCAAATAATAGAATAAAATTAAATTTACAATACTCTCATATAACTTATTTAACAAATATGCATATATGTTAATAGAATCATTACCATATATATTTATAAAAATATGAATGCCTAAAGAAATAATAATCGGCAAGATAATATTTTCTCTTATTAACGTTTACATATAAATAAATATATCTGTTACTATATAATCTAAAAAAATATGTGTGGACAAATCCTTCTCTAAATTTATTTGTACAACACGGGTTTTATATGGCGTTACATATAATAAATATTCTTTTCGTCAGATTAATAGGGCTAATTTATAATTGTGAACATTTTTATCTCTCTCATATTACCTATATATCTAAATCTCAATACTTATTCAAAAAATTATTAAAGATTATTATACATTATTAAAAATATCAAGAGCTCTGTTCGAGCTTTATTAGACCAATTAGAAACCATCTATAACAAACTAATAGAAGTCTGTCAAATTCTATCATTTTACTTCATTCTTTCTATTTAATTCATGTTGATTATACAATTATATTCTATGCAAAATTGCAGAAAGATTATTTTTTGCAGATTTACGCTTTAAATATCTCTAAACGTATAATAAATTTGAGACAATATTTTCGCATTTTTAAATATAAGCATTTAAAACATATGCAAAAGATATATATATATATATATATAATTTTTGTTGTGTTTTATAGCACATTCGTTCAATAAGTCGAAATCAGTAATAATTCACATCATTATATAAGATCTAATTTTAGAAATTAATTATGTTTATGTAGATATATATCATCTTATGAATAAAATTATTATATAACATACTTCAAAAATGCAAGAATGTAGACAAGAAAAATTGGACGAATTATCGCATAATATTGAAAGTGCAAAAGCTTGCGAGATGTTCTATTATATTAAATTTATCCTACTTAGATAATTTAAACTGCGTTATTTCCTTAAGAAACTAATAAATAAAATGCTAAAAAAGGCAACATCCTGAATTATCTGAATAGGATGACTTATTATCTTATAATTTCCGCAATCTATTTATAATAAATTATTTCTTTAAACATTGTGCATTTACAATACATAATCCGTGTTGAAAATTGAAACATTTTGACATTATCTCTCTGATATTCTTCATAAAAATATAATCTTCTCGTTATATATTGTTCTATATATCATCTTGCTATTCTATATATATATATCATTTCTCCATATATTAACAATCAGACCTATTTACAATAATAGAATATAGTATTGAAAATATATGTATTATATATATGTATATATACATATACATATATACACATATCTATTATATAAATGTAGCTGTTTTATGCTTTTAAATAAGCTAATAAAAAACATGAAAATAAAAAAAAAATAAAAGTTATTATTAAATTAAAAAGAAGAATAGAAATATAATTCAAAAAATTGAAAATTGAGGAAAGTTTGAAAATTAATTTGATTTTTATAACCCGAAATAAATATATATTATGTTTTTGATATACTCGATCGACTAAGAATAATTTTGCTCCTCTCGCGAGATGAATCGTTTAATGGCTGAGAATCTTCTTGAATGGATTGAGGATATTTCTGATCAGGATAGTTCCATGCTTGTATATCGGCTGTACCAAATACTTGGTAGACAATATACGTGCTGCAGCATACACCTGCGGTGACTGCAAATACGTTTCTCCATGCATCGAGAGATTGCTGTTGGAAACATATTATTTTTATATATTATTTGTTTTTAATTGTAATGAACGATAAAAAAATCAAAGAAGAAAAATATAATACTTACGCTTTCTTGTGTAAGTAGACCAGCTACTATAGGAGATAGGAAACTAGCACTCATGTGAATTGTCTGTGCAAACGCTAACACCGGCCCTAAAAGGAAAAGGATATCGATTTATAAATACTGAAATTTCTGCTAAATAAATCTATTTGCAAAAATTATGCATATTCACCAGCAAAATTGGGTGCGATGTCGACAATATTAGCCATTGCACCCGCGTAACCAGCTGTTATGAGGGTGACAGCTATAAACCATATAATTAAAACGAGAATAATATCACAACCCAAGTACCCAATTAAAACTACAAGGATTCCAGGAACCACTTGAGCTATAAGAAAAAAATAAAACTATTAGTTATAATTCGAATACAGAGTTTCCAAGTATTAACTAAATTGAAAAAAAAACAGACTTACATAGTGCAGTAAATATCTTGCGCACAGTGATTAAAGTCATAATTTGCCGCTTAACTAGAAGATCAGCGACGTAGCAAAATACAACAGAACTTAAGTAACTGCAGATAAAAGGAGCACCTGACAGGATACCATTCTAAAAAATAATAAGCTTATTAGTTTGAGATTGCATCGATCAAATGAAAACGAAGATTCTTTGGATAATAAATGCATACTGCCTGTATACTGAATCCTAATACCGTCTTCATGTACATCGGCCGGGAATGATAAAGACATAATGGACCCATATTCTTCCAAAGGTTGTGATACCGATAGCCCATGCTGGCCAAGACGTTAGTATATATTTCCAGGGAACAGGCATGTCCTGAAACATATGAAATACTACGTTAACGCGTTTGTTCGCGTAAAAAAGACACTGTTGAATAACAAATATATACTGCCTTACCTCATTTGCTCAATAACTTGGTTTCTAACACATTCCTGAATGTAACGAAGTTCCAGTTTAGATATTCTGGGATGCGAGGCAGGAGTGTCGAAGGCGCAGAAGTACCAAAACACGCACCAGACGAGGCGATAGTACCGGTTGTGTAGAATACAATCCTCCATCCGCAATGGGCGATGATAAACGCGCACAACGGGTAGGTTAAGCCAATGCCGATGCTGAACCCTGAAAATCTAGATGTTAGGAGTAGCTCACCCTACGTGCCGGAGGAAAGAAACATGATGCTTGTCGAATGGCCTTCGGTCTTGGTTCGTTACGACACTCATGCTTGGTGATGATGATCGCTCTTCAGTCATGATGTATGTATTTCATCCTGTAAAGCGATTCAAGTAACACTTAGTACGCGGGGACGAGGATGGACATGATGAAGCTGTTAATGGTGGGACAATGAAACTTCTATATCTGCAAATAATAAGAGCATAAAGTCGTTCTACCTGCAAAAGAGTGTCACTCACTCTTCATATATATAGAGAGCGGTATTAGAAACAAGTGTATGAATAAATAAAAAATTAATAATATAAAATAAGTTAAAAAAAGCAGGTTTTATTTGTTAATAATATCTAGCTATGTTAAATAGATAAAGGATATAACACGCGTAAAAATAATTTAAACTAACAAGAAAAATAGATTTAATATTACGGAACCACTTCTCACATCGTGTTATTACATTATTATATTAAGCTAATTAATAATGTTTATTCTGTGAGTATTTATACGAGTCGGTAAAGATATAAATATTATTTTAGCGGACATTTCGTATTAACAGAGCAAGAGAGTGACAAGTTTAGAGATATTTAGATTAGTAAGCAAGCAAACAGATA